CCTATGCACCAAGAGGTCACTGGTTCAATTCCCTGTCAGGACCCATGACCAAGTCGTGGGCCAAATTCCCAGTGGGGAGCATGCAGAAGGCAGCCAATCAATGTTCTCTCTCATTGATGTTTTTATCTCTCCCCCTGTCTTCCTCTCCTAAAATCAATAAAAATATATATATATTTAAAAAAAAGAAAGAAAGAATGTATGTACCCCCATGTTCACAGCAGCACTATTTATAATAGCTAAGATCTGGAAACAGCCCAAGTGTCCATCAGTAGACAAATAGATAAAAAAGCTGTGGTACATATACACAACGCAGATGAAAGAAAGTAAAAGATCTTTTATCCTTTGAGACGACATGGAGGGACCTGAAAAGTATTATCCTAAGTGAAACAAGACACAGAGAAAGACAACTATCATATGATCTCACTTATCTATGGAATATAATGAACATAACATTGTGAGTAACAGGGTAGACCCAGAAATAGGGAAGTAGGGTACAGACTGACAACCCTCAGAAGAAGAGGGGCTGGGGGGAGGAAAGAGATCAACCACAGAACTTATATGCATGTATGCATAACCAATGGACACGGAAAACAAACCCAGGGATGGGGTGGGGTGGGGTGGGGTAGGGTGGGGAGAAGAGTGTCAATGGAAAAGAAAGGAGAAACATCTATAACAAAAATAAATTAATGAAAATAATAATTTAAAAAAGTTAAAGTACATAATTTTTTTTTTTTTTTTTAATTTTTAAAGTTACTTTAAAATCTTTATTAGTAAGTTCACTGTCTTGGGATTCCTCAGGATGAGTTTCATTTATTGTACTTTTTCTGTGTTTGAACCATGAGATCTTGTCTTTGTATGCCTCATCATTTTTGTTGAAAATTGATTTTCAAATACACAGTGGCAATGCTTAAAATAATTTTCTCCTATTTCCATGGTTTGGTGCTTGTTGTGTAGTAACTTTTATGAACCTATTCCATAGTTTGTATTGTGTCTGTGTGGCCACTAAAGAATCTAAGTGGTCACTATTGACTGGACTGAGTTTTCCATACAACCAGGAATTCTTCTGATTCTGTCAAGAAGCTCTGTGGACACGTTAAAACACATCTTTAACATTTAGTCAGGCAATTTATACTCCATAATGGCTTCTACTTCCTGCATGCGTAAAACTTCTAGGTTAATTAAAGGTTCATTCAGGCCTTGCCCAGTTTCTCTCTATCATGGGCATATCCTTTGCTTTCCACATTCAAGAGTCCCAGGTATATGTCCCAGCTTTTCAAAACTCCCCATAGATATCTCATTCAAAGATTTTTCTAAGCTTTATGGATATTACACCTAATGTTTGGCCTAATTGTATCTACTGTCTTAGTTATCAATGATGTTCAATAATTTTCTCTAATCTTTCTTGAAAACTCCAGAGAAAATGCTGCTCACTAGCAAGCTCAGAATCTCCATAAAAATAAAGATAGCCTGGCCCTCGCTGGTTTGGGTCAGCGGTTAGAGCATCAGCCAACAGGCCAAAGATCCCTGGATTCAGTTCCTGGTCAAGAGCATGTACCTCTGTTGCCGGTTCAATCCCCAGCCCAGTTGGAGTCATGCAGGAGGCAACCAACTGATGTGTCCCTCACACATCAATGCTTCTTTCCCTCCTTTCTTTTCTCCCACTCTATCTAAAAAAATTAATAAAAAAATATTCTGAGTGATTTTTTTTTTTTAATGTATGCCAAAAATGGAGTTGGCCTTACACACAGTTCTTCAAGGAATCATTATAGACTGGCCAAATAATGACAATTCTCTTGAAATAAACTTTAAAGGAGCTCTGACAACTTTCTGCCCTCTTGGTACCAGGTTCTTGATTTACCACACAAAAAAAGTGGATGTTGACTTTTAAGGTTAATTTGCACAACTCTGGGGGAGTGAATGTGAACACTGCAAGTTTAAAAGACCACCAAATTTAAATGCTGTTACCAAGATTTAGCCTTTTTTCTTGAATAAACAACTTCCTATAATGTTAAAAGTTAGTTTCTGAAAGTAGTGTTCTGATTTCGCATATATAGAAGAGAATTTTAATAATTGTTCCTCATAACTTTGTCATGTTAGTTGTTTTCTGCATGTTGGTTTTATCTCCTGTTTCTGTCTCTCATATCTTTCTCCATAATCATGTTTATGTCTTTCAACCATTTCACTTTGCAACTAGTAAAGTCTGATCACAAGAGCCTTGATTATAATCAATTTCATTATTGTTGCTGCTATAGTAGTTTTTACTTTGATAATGTTTTTATTTCTCTTCAGTTTTTATTCTGTACTCTAAGTTTAACTTCCTTCTCCTTTCATTGCCATGTATTATCACCTGTGAAAATATGTATCTACTGCAATACAGTCTAAATACTTTTCAGTCATAAAGAAAACTTTTTGTCTGATGAATAAAAATATCTTTCTAAATTTTATCAGAACATATTTTTAAAAATTGATCAAGATATCTGTGCTAAAACATTCTTATTTAATCTTCAGAAGTGTTTCCTTTATTTACATTTACTGTTAAAATTCCAAAATTATCTCGTTTTACCAGTTAACCCATCCCCCAAAATCTGGAGAGACTTCAAATGGGAATTTACATATGTATCCAATTAGCTATAAAGAAATAAATACATACATTAAAATATAAAATATGCAATATATCTTATCATCTCCTCTATTCCAAAAACTACTAGATGCAACAAATAAACCATAAATTGTACTGATCCTTAGAGTCTGTGTATCAGATATGATGGTATGGCCTTCATTTATAAATCAAACACTGAACCACTTTTTATTAAATATTCATTAGAACCAAAGTCATAATTAACTAGAAGCTAAAAATAAGCCGACTAATCAAAACACCTAAACTAGATGGCCCTGTAGGAGGCTTGATGTCCATGGAATTTCAATTATCAAGTTAATGTATTTGTTAATTCAACAAATACTATTTTATACCAAGTACACATAGTTTGATGGGTCAGATTCTGTCCTCAAACAAGACATAATCAATATAAAGCAATAACAGTATCTAGACCGTAAGATTGTACATATGGCAGTTATACTGTAACAATGAACATGTGTGTCCAAATACACTACAATAGCATTAAAAATGAACTATTTTTGTCATTTTAAGTAAGATCTTTGAAGGGAAGAAGTTTACCAATATGGACTCTATAACAACTATTAGGTATATATATATAAATCCAATGAATTACTAAAATTTCTTAAGACAACAGGAATGATTCTTAGATCTATATATGTTGAATAAAAAGTCACAGAAACTGAGGTACTTCCATTTCTTATGCTATGGAAAACATTAAGATTGATGCAATAATAGCTTCTTCATTTTCTCTATTGTACATAAATCAGATCAAGGCCATACTTTCTGTATCTAGCCTCTACCTGCCAACCCTAAGAGGCCAACTCCAAACCTCCTCCCCAAAGAGGATTTTATATTAGAGAAATTATTTTTTTCCTAGAATAACAGGATACCAAGAAAGCTGTTATCACTCCATAAAATCATCTTATTAAAAAATTATATTTTAATATATATTACCCATTAAAATTAAATCTTAATTCATTATGATAAATGCTACCCTGACCCTTCTTTCAAACCTAGTTATAAGCTCTAGGTCAAAAACTGTAAATTATTATTATGTTTAGTAATACTCAACACTTTATCTAGAACAAGGTCATAACAGAGGAAAAAAGATCAATGAATGTTTATTAAATCAGTACAATCAGGCTCTTGAGTTATAATGCAAGTTCAGTTAGATACAGAAAATTAGCATTATCATAATGCTGGGCCATGATGGCATACTTGATCACATTAAAGGTAAATAAATGTCTGCTCTCTGCCCCAAAATTTCTATAATAGCTTTGCTGTGTTATGCTCAAAGACGCAAGAAAAAACACACTTGCACGCAGTATTAAGAGGAATACTCTGAAATCTGCACTACAAAACTTGATTCCAAAAACTAGTAGTCCTATGAGTTGATAATTTAGGATTACCAAGTTATTTAAATCATGAGATAGGTGACAGGAGCAACAAACAAACTGAAATCCCAGTAATGTAAAGAACGTATCTAGCCCAGCCGGTGTGGCTCAGTGGTTGAGAATCAACCCATGCACCAAGAGGTCGCTGGTTTGATTCTCGGTCAGAGCACATGCCCAGGTTGTGGGCTGAATCCCCAGTGGGGGACATGCAGAAGGAAGCCAAATGATTGTTCTCTCTCATCAATGTTTCTATCTCTCTCTCCCTCTCCCTCTAAAATCAATAAAGAAAAAAAAATTTAAAAAAAAAGAACGTATCTAAAAATGGTTGTTTGAAGGATTAGAGACACCTACTGGGATTTACTAACAGAAAACTATTATAACCTCTGCTACTTAAGCAAAATTCTATTTATGTCCCAACTGTAAAGTCATGAAAGCTAGCATGCTCTAAGAAGGAACAAACACAGTATATAACTATTTATATTAAGTTTTTAATCGATCTGAAATCTATATAGTTGTTTATGATCTTGCAGATGACTATTTTATTTGAAGATATTAAAATAATATAATTATAAAGCCAATAGTGACTTTCTTTTTAAATGATTGTTATTTTGAAAGAAAAAAAGAAATTGTGGAAGAAAGATAGTGAAGAATTGACTGTATAATGAAGACAATTTTTTTCCCAAGTTGAAATCCTTTCAAGTTTCAGATTAGGTAGCTCAAAGCCTATTCACATCTTTCATGATTTCTATCCTTTTCACCTTTTATCTTTCTAATCATTTACTCTATCCTTATATAGTAATAATTCTTTACTTTGTACCATTTCACTTTTCTTAACTATGACTAATCTTATAGGAGTCAGACTAAAAGAACAATGCTCACAGTCTTGTGTGATTTATCTTAATTTTAAGTCATGGAAATATCACACAGATGTAACAAGAAAAAACAGCCTTCAAAAATACCTTTAACATTTACTATATCCCAAGACTTACAGGAAATCATAAGGTAGTCCTCACAGTTGCTTTTATCACCATCGTGCTGGTCCACAGGGATCCCGTTGGCATCTATGACTGCTTCAGAGGCACAATCTGCTACCAATACTTCTTCTGAAACTACATCAGTTGTCAGAGGATCAGTCACGATTTCTGCGTCTACTACACTATCATGAACAACGTGTTCAATATGTCCAATGTCAGACACATGTATAGATTCACTTGTCAAGACGTGTTCTGGCATAGACATTGAGGCTGAAGCAATGTCGGAAGCTAAAACATCATCTGGGACTGTGCAATGTGCTAAAGAAACTTCTTCGGTTACATCTGAATAAAGCACTTGCTCAGGAATGATGACATTTTCAGATATATCTGCTTCTTCTAAGATATCTGAGCACTGAACATCCTCAATAACAACATCCTCAATAACATCTTGAATTACAACTGAGTCTGGGTCATCAGGAACAAAGTTATGTACAGTTATATCTGAATCCACAACATCTGAAACAAAAACAGTTTCTTGAACTTCCACAACAATCTGATCACCATCCATGTGTGTAGCATCAGTTCCTTAAAAAAACAAAAATTAAAATGACATATTTCAGGTAGGCATGCACGACTATCTAAAATAATGTAAATGTTGTTTAATTTGCACCCAGAAAATAGGCTAGATCTTGTTTTCTCAAACATTAAAATATATTAAAGAAAAAGCGAGTCTACTTTCGACTCATAAAAGATATAGAAATTTTAAACACCAGAACTGTTTTTTACTCAATCCTAATCAATAGTGGTAAATGCAACTGATAAAGGCAAAATTGTGGAACAGTTACAGGAAATTATTCATGAAAATAATTTTTAGAACATCAACGTAAAAAGTCCCCAGGCAACTAAAATAAAATCTTAAGGGATAATAAAAATTAACCAAATAACAAATTTAAAAAAAAATTTAAATCATTTTCCTTCATATTTGTTTTGTTTTCTTTTACCCAAACTCTTTCAACATGTTTCCTTCTTTTCATCACACAGAATTATTTTCTTTCCTTTTTTTCTTTTAGCCTTTATAATCTTACCATTCTATCATAGAATATATTATAACAGTATCCTCCATCTATGACTGGAAATTTAGAAATTACGCTCCGAACTTGGGATATACAATGATTTGGGCATAAATATGACTGGAAATATATGTTATCCTCTGAAATTAGCATACTAAAGAACTAGAACATAAATTAAAATAGTAAGGCCACAATTAAAGAGGAAAGAAGTACAAATGGTTAGGAGCTCTATAGATAAAATTTAAAAAGTGCAGCTGCTAAAAAGTGGTAGATGAAGTGAGTTAGAGCAGGGCCTGCCCTAACTTCACCAGAATAGACTACTCTTCCTATACAGCCTCCTCCCAACTCCACATCCCAATCCACAGGCAGTTCTCAGAATATAAGAAACCCTACTCTTCAATTAGGAATGAAGGTAAAGAAGTAAATCAATAGAAGCCTAGTGAGATTAAATGACTTCACCAAGATCACACAGTTGTCTGCCCAGCATATGGCACTCGGTAAATATTACTCTGAATGAATGCCATAAGTGGAAACAAAAATAAGATATCCTTACCAAAAACATAAGATAAAACAAATATGGTATCTTGGTTACTAGTCTAGAGAAAAGCAAGCATGAAAAGCTCACCTAAAAAGCTATTCAGTTGATTCATGTTCCTGGTTATGACTCAGAACAGCTGAGTTTAAGCAGATACCTAACAATCACTGTGTGCCACTGGCCAGGCCATTAGAGAAACACAGATTCTTCAATAAATAAAAATGAAAAGGACCAAAGAATAATAAAGGCTGTAGAAAGTCTTTAATGTTAGTTAGTATCCACTTGAATTACATATAGAATGATTTATTTATATTTAATCTCTATATAACTACAAAATGCTTTATAATCACTTATCTTCAATGTCTGTAATAATTCACATCAAGAAATAGATCATTTTAATCTGTCTTAAAGATATAAATGTCAAAGCATTTAGTGGCAATAGCACTGTTAAAAAATCTAAATCAGACAAGGGTTTAGACAGTTACTCGTTTTGTGACCTTAGGCAAGTCATTTAACCTCTAAGTTTGTTTCCTGGTCAGTAACGTGTAGATAGTAATATCTGCCATGCATACCTCACAGGACTGTTGTGATGATCAAATGGGAATGTATGGGAAGTGTTCTGAAAAACTGTAATGAGAGGTTTCAGTATTAATATGACATTTAAAAAACAAAGGCCTTGGTAGATTGACTTGCTCAAAGATGAACACCGTGGTGTTAATAATCAGGGCTAAAATGAAATAGCGTAGCCTACTTTGCCTATGACCCAGGCTTGTTTGTGGCAAGGTTAAGCTAACAAGTACTCTTTTTCTCCAAAGAATTTAGACTCTCTTTCAAGCACATTAATTATACTTCACTATGTTTAAGTGAAGAATTATAACTTTGAAATATATTTCCCCTTATTTAAGCATAAGTCAGTAAGAAGACTATACTCTACACACAAACATCAGCACAAACACACAGGATTTAGAAAATATAATGATTATCCTCATGTTTCCTGATAAAAATCAGTAACTATGCTTTAATATATGGCAATATGATCACATAAAATTCAATGAATAAAATCATTAAAATATAACATAAGATTATGTAACAGTAAATACTTTCAAATAAAATGTAGTGCAATTCACTTCACTGTATTGTATACGTAGACTCATGGGATTGTGAATACTTCTATTTTCCATTGTTAGAAGTTTACAGATATAATTTTTCTTATGCTGTCGAGTGAATGAGGCCAGATCCAACTTCACTAATACAGAAGACTCATTGTGGAAAGCCTTTTGAGAAATAAGATTGTGAAAGTGGAGGACCCTGGGTTTATACTTTATCTCCTGGGTAATGAAGAAGAAATGACATGATCCATGTGTTACTTTTAGGATGAGCATTCTACTACTGTGATAGATAAAGAAACTAATGCCCAGCCAGTGTGGCACTTTTCCCCTCTCCCTTCCTCTCTCTGAAATCAATAAAAACATATTTTTAAAAAGAAGAAACTAAATGAGGAAAATATTTTAGTATTACAGATTAAAAATGAGATAACAGTGCTGTGCAAATAGTAAGAACCACATAAAGAGCTCTAGGGTAAGCAGATTTGCCAGCCCATGCACTCCATTATACCCACCTTGGAAGATACCATGCCCTAAATCACAGGAATTATGAATATGTCACATTATGGCTTATGCCATGACAACTTATAGGTGTAAATAAAGTTATGAATTTTAAGAAAAGGCAATTTTACTGGATAATTTGGGTGGACCTAATCTGATCAAATAAACCCTTAAAGCAGAGCATTTACCCCACCTGGCTTCAGAGCCGAAGCAGAATTTTAAGTATGAGAGAGAATGAACTCACTATTGCTGGAAGGGGCCTCATGTAAAGCATTAGAAGGAACACAAGCAGCTACAAGGAGCGATGACCAGAAATGCTGATGACAACCAAACAGAAAATAGAAACCTTGGCTGAATATAAAGTGAAATCAGCAACTATCGGAATTAGCTTGGAATCAGAGTAATCCTGGAGTCCCAGAAAGGTACAACACCCTACCAACACCTTGTATTCAGCCATATAAAATTTACAAGAGATAGCCCAGTAATGCCATGACAGTTTTCTGACCTACAGAAAATGTGAAACAATAAATATTGTTTTAAACTGCTAAGTTTGTGCTCAGGTGGTATGGCTCATTGGTTGGGCATCAACCCATGGACCAAGAGTGTACAAGTTTGATTCCTGGTCAGAGCACATGCCCAGGCTGCAGGCTCAATCCCCATTTGAGGGCATGCAGGAGGTAGCCAATCAATGTGTCTCTCTCATCAATATTTCTATCTCTTTCCCTTTCCCTTCCTCCCACTATCTGAAAAGAAAAAAAAAAAAATCAGTGAAACATATTTTTTAAAAAATAGCCCAGCCCTGGCTGGTTTGGCTCAGCGGTTAGAGCGTTGGCCTGCAGTCCAGAGAGACCCGGGTTCAGTTCCCACTAAGGGCATGTACCTCGGTTGCAGTTTGTTCCCGGCCCTGGTTGGGTCATGTGGGTGGCGACCACTGGATGTGTCCCTTTCACATTGATGTTTCCCTCTCTCTCTCTCTCTCTCTCTCTCTCCCCCCCCCACCCTCCCTCCCACTCTATCTGAACAAAATATCGAAAAATGTCCTCCGATGAGGATTAAAAAAAAAAAAAAAAATAGTCCAGTTGGTGTGACTCAGTAGGATTGAGTGCTGTCCTACGTAGTGAGAGGTTCCGGTTCAATTCCCAGTCAGGGCACATGCCTGGGTTGTGGGCTCAATCCCCAATAGAGGGCATGCAGGAGGCAGCTGATGGATGTCTCTCTTTCACATCAATGTTTCTATCTCTTTTCCTTTTTCTAAAAAAGTCAATGAAAACATATTGTAAATAAATAAATAATAAAATAAAGATAAACTGCTAAATTTGTTTAATGTGAAGGGCAGTAACAGAAATAAATACATATTTTGATCCTAACAATGTGAAGTGGCTTTGGAATCTGATAATCCTTTGAACAGACTAATAGTACAAATACAGATGTTAACTCATGCCAATAAGAACTCAGAAGAAACAACCAAGGTACATAAATCCTACATGGAGTTAATAGAATAAGCTGTCTGTACAGGCTGTTAATAGAAATAATAGTTTTAAAAAACTGTTAGGGCTTAACATCAAGTTAGAAACATGTAACTAGATACTGAAGGAAAGACCATCCTTGTTATGTTGTGATAGACATCTCAGCAAAATTGTATACTGCAGTTATATAGAAGGGATAAAGTATAACAATGAACTAGGAGACTTCAGTAGAGTAGTGAAGATGTGGCCTGGTTTCCTCTTACTGTTTAAGTAAAATCCAAGAATAAACAAACAACAACAAAAAAGTAGTAGGACTTAACAGTGGGAAGTTCTCAGCCTATACTAGTAGAAAAACAAAAGTTAAAATTGAGATTTGTTGTCAGAAAAAAATGTTCTAGCGAGAAACCAGCTGTGACTCTACAACTCTTCACAGATTTCTAAAAGATCAAAATATAGTATCTTTTGAGGCTTTAAGGGTGTGCCTCACACAAGGTAGGGTGCTTCAAAGGAGTTTAAGGGCACTGTCCATCAGCCATCTCAGTAGAAGTCAGAAAAAGACAGTATTATGTAAATAACTTTCTTTCTAACAAAGTAAATTCCCATGACATAAATAGGAGACGCATAAAATTCTCCAAAAAGTTAAACCATCAGAAGCAATGCTAACTTGGATTGAAATGGGAAGAGAGAGTATAAAATAAAGGAAACTGCTGGACTCTCCTAAACTCTAGTGATAGGAAGAAGGCTTATAAAAACTATACAGCTATAGCCCCAGCCAGTTTTGCTCAGTGGTTAGGACATTGGTCAGAGAACCAATGAGTCTCTAGTTCAGTTCCGGTCAAGGGCACTACACCTCAGTTGCAGTTCATTCTCAGGCCTGGTCGGGTTGTGCAGGAGGCAACAGGTCCACATGTCTCTCTCTCACAGATGTTTCTCACTCCCCGCCCCCCTCCCTCCCACGCTTATCTGATGATAAATAGGAAAATATCCTCAGGGAAGATTTAAAAAAAAAAAAAGAACATAACTACATAGTTAAATACTTGCTATCTTAGATGAAAAAAACAAAGATTACTTACAGAGGGGGAACCCTGAACCATCAAGAATTATTCCCAAGGCTGAAACATAATGGAATGTTCCTGGCTGATTTTCAGAATTTCCTTAGACTAGTAACTCTATTTAACTTTCTTTATACCCTCTTTGAGCCAGAATATTCAAAACTGCCCTACCTTTTCTGTTGGGATCAGATGTTCCTTTAGCTTTATAAAAAGTCCACAAATGAAAAGGAATTGTGCCCGAGTTGTATTTAATGAACAAGAGTCCAGCGTGTTAAAAGCACACAATTTAGATATTTGGTATTTCTGAGCTGCTAAATTTCAGGTAAAAATCCGGGATGTTCAATCTGAGAACTTTAGAAGAGACTGGATGAATTTTACATTTAGGAAAGACATAAATGCTTGTAGACTAGATATAGACAATGGTAGAGATAATGGTCCTTCAAAGACATCCAAATCCTACTTCCTAGATCTTTATTTTTCTTCCCTTTATGATTTTAGAGAGAGAGGAAGTGAAAGGGAGAGACAGAAACATCCATGAGAGAGAACATTGATTGGCCGCCTCCCGCAAGCCCCCCACTGGGGGTTGGGCCCACAATCTGGGCATGTGTCCTGGCCGGGAATTAAACCGGTGACCTCTTGATGCATGGGGTCAATGCTCAACCACTGAGCCACACTGGTCGGACCTACTTCCTAGATCTTATACATATGTTATGTGACTTAATAAAGGAAACATTGCAACCCTTGCTGGGTGGCTCAATTGGTTGGAACATCATCCCATTCACCAAAAGGTAGCAGGTTTGATTCCTGGTCAGGGTATATATGGGAGGTGAAAGGTCGAAGTTTCTCTGTCATATCAATGTTGCTCTCTCTCTTCCCTAACCCCCCCAAAAAACCAATATAAACGTATCCTTGGGTGAAGATAAGAAAAAAACAACAACCCTGCAGATGTACTTTGATAGGTCGATTATCTTAGGTGGGCTTCTATCTGGAGTCAAGAAGATATGATAGAAGAAAATGTCCAAAAATTTCAAAAGATGAGAGGTTCAACTTACTTTTGTCACTGTGAACCACATGCAAAGCAGGAGAAGAAATATGGGCAGTCTCTAGAAGCAAAGAAATTGCCCAATTGCGCTTGCTAATAGTAAGAAAACAAAAATCTCCACCTTACAACTACAAGGAACTAAATTTAAGTCTGCACGTCTTAAATGAGGATTCTCCCTCAGAGGCTGCAGAAAGAAATATAGCCATCAATGCCTTGATTCTTACTTGTAAAAACAGAACTCTGTTGAACCAAACTATAACTGGACTTCTGACCTACAAAACTGTAAGGTAAAAAACTGGTGGTGTGTTGTTTTAGGTCATAAATTTGTGGCAATGTATTATGTCAATAATGGAAAACTTACACAAACAGTACCAAACAACAAATACTTTCAGATGAGATCGGGTGCGTTCAGGGTGGTATGGCCATAGACACAACAAATACTTTCAAAGTGTCTTATTAGTGTTCTCTGGATTTAGCAGTATAAGTGCATAAGATGAGAATTACTAAAGATATCTTAAGATTTTGATGATGATGATGTTACTGATTATTTTGGCTATAAGATTTTAACAAAATAACAAAAGACACTTAAGTATGAGTCAATATAAGATCTCAAAATTCAAGCAACCCCTTATTTGGTAGATAGAAAGCAGAACAATCCAAGAAATAGATATACCTATTCCATCAAAAAATGAGTTTGATTCTTGTGGCTGCAATTCAATTTCATCTTCATCCATGGTCTTTGATTCTCATTAGTCACAGTTCCTAAACTAGGGAATAAAGTATATCAAACATTAACTTTTTTATGTCACATTTAAAATGTTAAGATATTTACATTTTTAAAATTCTCAAATTTCTTGATTCATCAAAACCTGTCAATGGGAACATACTGATTTCCAGTGACATATGGATAGCTATATCATAAGACAGGGCAGTTAAATCAAGTATGTTCACAATGGAATTTTTTTTGTTTTAATCACTGTATCAAAATATTACTTACATAAAGTATATAAATAGGAAGTACTTTTCATAAATTAAGTGGCTTAATTTATATATGTAAATTTATATTACCATCATTCAGATTAATATAAAGAACAGTTCTTGCATCCCAAAAGACTCCCACACGCCCTCTAGCCTCCTTTCAATCAGCAGCTTAATGACTCTTTTCAGTTCAATTTTAACACATTCAGGAAATAAATGAGAAATTTTCAGCAAGATTTTATTACCCCATTAAATTTAATTTAGTCTGCAATCTTCCTACCAATCAATTACAGAATGGTAAAAATTCAAAATTCAAAACAATGGTAAACACTCTTAAGATTTCTGTTTAGCTTACAATGACTTCTCTTAACTGACCTTCAAATTGAAGAAATAATTCTCAAAGTATATTTATATTGTCCATACCACAGCTATAAAAAGATAAAAAATAAATTCACAACAAAACCAAAATCCCATCCAAAAGATATCTGAAGCTATAAGTAAGAGTTGAGAATGTATCCACTCTGCCTCTCCCTCAATGAATAAAAATATAACAGATGAACCTGACAGCTTAAGGATATTTATCAAATTTGGCTGAGGGTAACAGGAAAAACAGTCAGTTAATAAAATAAAAATAAAAAACCCTGGCCAGTTTTGCTCAGGGGTTAGTTAGCATGCTGGCCCGAGGACGGAAGAGTCACAGGTTTTATTTCCAGTCAAGGGTACATACCAGGGTTGCAGGTTTGATCCCCCTCCCTGGTTAGGGCATGTTTAAAAGGTAACCAATCAATGTCTCTCTCACGTCAATCTTTCTCTTTCTCTGACCTAATCCACTTCCTGCTCTTCCTTCTTTTCTCCTTCCCTTCTACTCTATCTAAAAAGCAATGTAGCCCTGGCTGGCTTGGCTCAGCGGTTAGAGCGTCGGCCTGAGATCCAGAGATAACCTGGATTCAGTTCCTGCTAAGGGCATGTACCTCGGTTGCAGTTTGTCCCTGGTCCTGGCTGGGTTGCAAGGGAGGCAGCTTCTCAATGTGTCCCTTTTACATAGATGTTTCTCTCTCTCTCTCCCTTCCTCTCTCTCCCTCCCACTCTATCTGAACAAAAAATTTCCTCAGATGAGGATAAAATAAATTACAAAATAAAAACCAATGGAAAATTGTCCTCGGGTGAGAATTTTTTTATAAAGTTAAAATGCCAAGAAAAACAACAACAACAAAAACCCTAGTATATGCCTAAAAGGAAAGTGAGTAGATAGAGGGAGCAGAAAAGGGATAACAAAAGCCATGATTTACCTATGTTGTAAATATAGCACAAACCTCCTAACTGGCTTTTCTATATCAACTTTCTCATTTTTTAATTCACCTTCAATAGTGCTATTAGATGCAGTCTCTCAAATGTTTATCATTTCTGTGAACAACATTAAAAATGTATTATTCTTGTTTAGTTTTCAAATAATGTAGTGCATTGAATATATGTCATTATATATTGTACATGCTCTTGATTTGGGACCTTGATCTTGAAGACACAGCTTCTCTTAGAGGGGCTATCTAAATTCTATAGATAGCATATCTTCCTCTGTGAGTACATCTCTGATAAATAAACAAACCAATCAGAGTCCCCACCCCGAGCAAACTTACCTACCAAGCCAACATTCCCCACCATTCTAAAATATGCCAGGGGCCAGGTACAAAATAATTAGGTTTATCTCCTATAACTGTATTCCAATTCAAAATTTAGCATATATGCTTAAGCTTGCCCATTCTTTCCTGCTAGGATCTGGATTATGCTGTCCCATCTCCTCCTTTGCCTTTTTACAACCTTGGTCTTTACCCCAGCTGAACCTTTATGAAATGGCATGCCTCTCTCTTTCTCCTCTCATCATTTATCTTCCTTCATTGACGATCAATTTTTTATCTGATGTTTTACCATACTTAATTAAAACAAACCTGGAATACATTTTAACATATGTAAAAAAGGAGTGAATTTTCATACAGTGGAGTAAAGACAGCCTCTTTAATAAATGGTGTTGGGAAAATTGGACAGCTACATGCAAAAAAATGAAACTAGAATATAATAAACAGTCTGAGGAATGGGGTAGTCCCAGAGACATGGAAGTGGAGTACAGACTGACTATCCCCAGAAGAGAGGGTTGGGGGTAGAGATAAACCATAGAAGTTACATGCATGTATGCATGAACAATGGACATGGACAACAAAGCTGGGGAGAGGGCAGGAAGGTGGGGGCAGGTAATCAGTGGGGGGAGAAAAGAGAAACATCTGTAACAAAAATTAATTAAATAAAAAATAAAATAAAAAAAGGAGTGAATTTTCTAAAATATAATTTAAATGTCAGATTTCTGTTCAAAAATTTTTAAAGGTTCCCTGTTACTGCCAAATAAAATTCAAGCTCTTAGCCTACAATCCTGTAAGATCAGGCCCTATTTTTATATTATTTTCATAATTTCCCTTTACTACTCTTCTCCTCCTCTTCACCCCCCATCCAACCCAATGTCTGTTTCTTTCTCTCTCTTAAGCCAAAAAGAAATACCCATTTTCTTCATAAAATTAAAACTCTATTGATTTCTTCTACCTAGTTTCTTTTCCCATACTGTCTGTTTGATTTCCCCCTACATCTTCTTCCCCCATACACACACAAAAAGAAAATGCTAGAAACAATCCCTCCTATACCTGAATCTCCACAGCACTTTATATTTTTCTCTTCACTGTGTTTTTAGCATATGTCATGGTTATTTATGCCTTAATGTTCAGATATCAAACTTATAAGATTTATGGCAATGCACAAATAAAAAACTCAATAGTAATTTACACCGTAGAAAAATGAATTTACCTCTGAAACATATCCAATAAATTTTCCAGAAATAGTATATTTTATGACATTTATTTTTTAAAACTGCAAATTAAGAGCTTTATTTGATAGCCATTAGTATGATGATTAACATTTTTTCAACCACTAGAAAATGGAAAATGTACTTGCTTTAAATAAGTTGTCACTACTTCATCTCCCCTGAGTCTCTCTGTCTTTGTACTTCTTATAACTCTTCAAAATATGATTTTTAAAAAGATAACTGCAAAAATATATTGTAAGCATAAATTCATAAAATTAACTCAATTAACAATAGAATAAAAATTATGGAATTGGACACATTGGAGTAATTAAAAAAAAATTTCACTTTACTCATACAACCCCTATACCCCCAAGATAGCACAGCTATGCCAACAGCCCTTTTGACCTGTGATTTCTTCCACGAAGAGATTGTCAGTGAGCCCCCAGCTTCCCCATATGTACAGAATGCTAAGGCTGACTTCTTTTTCACATAATCCAGAATACTGAGTATGCAATACGACTGGGGAACAGTAGCCCACTTTTTTGGAGGATATCAATTGGCTGAAATCCTATTAATTGCTTCATGATACCCTAGAAACCCACCTATAAGGTGCTAGGGACACCTACCCTATGATCACCCCAAGTGGCCAATGGCCACTCACCACTGCTCCATGTGGCTTATGCAACACACCTCATGGTTGATTTCTGTATGTACTGCTGACAGCAGGCCTGAAGGCAACCATGAGGCTCTCAGTATCCACTCTGGCATTGCAGGATTAAGAGAAGGCATACCATTTTAAGAAATTCCCAAAAGAGGATCAGATCTCGACATAAAAAAAGGCCATAGATGAAAGACCTAGAGCCAATATCATACTCAATGGGCAAAAATTAAAAGCATTCCCCTTAAGAACAGGAACAAGACAGGAATGCCCACTTTCACCACTCTTATTTAACATAGTACTGAAAGTCTTAGCCACAGAAATCAGATATGAATAAAAAATAAAAGAGATCAAAATTGGAAAGGAGTAAGTGAAACTGTCATTATTTGCAGATCACATATTATACATAGAAAGCCCTAGAGACTCCATCAGAAATCTACTAGACGTAATAAATAAATTTGGCAAAGAAACAGGATACAAAATTAATGTCAAGAAATCAATGGCATTATTATACACCAATGATGAACTCACAGAGAACTAAAAAAAAAATCCCATTTACCATCGTGGCAATAAAATTAAGATATCTAAGAATAAATTAACTGAAGAAGCAAAAGACCTATTTGCAGAAAACTACAGGACATTGAAAAAAGAAATAGAGGAAGATATAAAAAAGTAGAAGCATATACCTTGTTCGTGGATTAGAAGAATTAACATCATTAAAATGTTCATATTAGCCCTGGCCGGTTTGGCTCAGTGGTTGCAGTGTCGGCCTGCAGTACAGAGAGACCCGGGTTCGCTTCCCGCTAAGGGCACGTACCTCGGTTACAGTTTGTCCTCGGCCCTGGTTGGTCGTGCGGGTGGCAGCCACTCGATGTGTCCCTTCACATCGATGTTTCTCTCTCTCTCTCTTCCTCTCTCTTCCTCCCGCTCTATCTGTACAAAAAATGGAAAACTGTCCTCAGGTGAGGATAAAAACAAACAAACAAACAAACAAACAAAAATGTTCATATTAAACAAAGCAATCTATAGATTCAATGCAATCCCCACCAAAATACCAACATATTTCACAGAACAAATACTTCAAAAGTTCATATGGAACCTAAGAATACCCCAAATAGCCACAGCACTCTTGAAAAAGAAGGACAAAGTGGATAGGATCCCAATACCAAATATCAGGTTATACTACAAAGTGACTGTAATCAAAACAGCCTGGTACTGGCACAAGAACAGGTATCTAGACCAGCGGAACAGAACAGAGAACCCAGAAATAGACCCAAGATATTACACTC